CAGACAACCAAGCACACTCACATTCACACCTACGGACAATTTACAATCACCAATTAACCTCAGCATGTTTCTGGACTGTGGGAGGAAGCCGGAGAACCCGGAGAGAACCCACGCTGCACGGGGAGAACATGGAGACTCCACGCAGAAAGATCCCGGGTGTCCTCACCGGGACGCCAACCGGCGACCTTCTCGCTGTGAGGCGACTGTGCTAACCACTGAGCCACCTAAATCATAACAAACTGCCAAAACATTAGTCTTAATCATCAGGGAATCACCAGTTGGTTCCATTTCATTCACTCAGCGTTACATCTTTGATATTTTCAGTCAACATGAAAGCAGAAGCAGCCGCTGCTAACACAACAAAAAGTGACTTTAAAAGTTATTACTGTACATAGAGCTAGAATAATCAGACTATTGCTGTTCTCCTGTTGCGGTATTCCAGCTAACTAGCTTTACAGGCAGATCCTCCAAAGCAGCTGTCAATAAAGTATTCGATTCAGTGAACAAATCTGAGCTGGAGATGCAAAGACCTGGAAACAAGCTAAACCCTTATTTTTGACTTCCAGCCTGCGTTTTACCTGAACAAAGGATTTCTTTGCAGATCCAGTCTAATGAGACAGGTGCTTCGGAGAGGGACGAGCGTGTCAGAAAGTTTCAAACAGGTTCGTGCAAACTGTCTAACTTTGAATAAAAACATTTATTCCCGACGTGTTGGCTGCAAGACTTTCATCCTACAAATGGTTCGTTACAAAGAGACGCCGCCGTAAACAGGAAGCGGCTCTGACTCCACGACAAATCACGTTCTGCAATTAATTAATCCCAAAACATAATTCTACCGAAAGATTATTTGTAATAGCATACAGTACAGTCACAAAACAGTAATTAGTAGTTTGGGTTTTTTTTATACTAAACAGGTAAACTACTGTGATGGGAATGTTTAGAACCCAGAAGAAGTCATATGGAGAAGACTTAAAAATACAATCGGTAAAAAAATAGATCACAACCAACCCTGGATTCTTCAGGCCCAATATCATTTTTACTAATAATATATATCGGTAGTACTTTTTTTAAACAAACCATCTTGATATGGATCCCCTGGAATTTTTTAAAAACTATAATCGACGTTTTATTTTCTACAAACTCTCTTGCTGGTACCGTCAAACTATATAATGGAGACAGCCTTTCTTAATTACTTCAAACCTTGCTCGGCATTTCTATACATTTTATTTTCTAATTTTTGCTCCTCACCGGCAGACATGTTCAATGATGTTGAAATATCTGCAAAAAAAACCCCCTCATATTTGCTAATAAACGGCTGATTTATCGATTCAGCTTTCACGCTGCAGGCACATTCCAGTCCCTTAATGTTCCCATGACGTCTCACAAACTAGTATGTTTTGTACGTAAGCCACTGGAGGAAAGTTTATTTTACTTTAAGGCAATCAAGTTGTTGTTGAAGCACGTCCGTGGGGATGATAAAACTGAATATTTCATGCATCGACCCGCATTGTTGAAACACAAGAGCGCCGTGCATTCTGTCAAAATGTCGCATCTGTACGTGGCCTGAAGGAATAATGGTGGCTCCAGAATTACACGGAGAGTTTTTTGCATACGGAGCATCGCACTTATTACAGTACACACACCCACAGCAGGAGGCGGAGGGATGAAAGAGCGCTTATTATCAGCGGGTTTGACACCGAGCCTTAAGATAAAGGCCCCTCCCGAATCATTTAGCTCATGGAGATATGCTGTCTGATAGACGGGATCAGCTGAGGACGAGCAGCAGCAGCAGCGCATTACGTAGACGGAGGGGAGCAGACGGAGGCGAACATGAAGGAGTGTTTGTCGCTCGCTTTTCTTTCCCTCCTCTCGTCCATTCTTTAATTCTCTCTCCATCCAGCCCTCTGTTTACCCGCCTATCCCTCCGTCTTCCTCTTACTTCATCTCTCCTTTCTACCCAAACAGAGGCAGGCAGAGAAGCAGGATGAATGATGAGCGGACGAGGGAATTTTGGCCGGCTCCAGCACAAAGCAGAACAGAGAGACAAACTGCAGGGCCGCGTGAATTAAAGATGACAGGAGTCCTGCTGCTCACGCCTGGGCTCGCCGGCCGGCCACTGCGGATGGAGCTCGGTAGCCGAACGTGGGAGAATAGTTTGAAACTCCAGAGAACGGAGAGGGGGAAATGAGAAAAACTAGCAGATGGATTTGTGGATGGAGTTCCAAGAATGAACACATGCAACGAGCTGCTTGAATGAACACAACTAAACGTCCCGCAGGTGGTGAGACGTCAGACGCAGTTAAATATCGTAAGACGGCCTGTTGTCACAAGTAGAGGTTCTTTCTCCTATAACACTAATGTCCAGAAATGTGAACCAGCCTCTGAAGTTAGATTCTTTTTCCAACGGAGTTTGACTCTCTGTGTTGCTGCTGCTGTGTTTACCTGAGAGAATAACAAGCAGGAAAACCCAATTTCCCATTTGCATCTGAAATGCAACCATGATGCTATACATCAGGAGACACGATGTCTTTCTGCTTCTGCTCCCTGAATGTCTGCTTTCTTGTGCATCCTGTGTTGTGAACCTTTTCACCAGACACTGCACAGAAAATCAATCTACAACAGCATCTGACGCCGCTATGTTAGGGTTTTTTTTCTCTCCCTCCAGGCTAAATGCTGACAGACTTGGCCCATCATATGCTGTAAAACGCCCATATCAGAAGCATCACTCAATCCTGCAGGTTTACAAGCACCCGGTGAATCAGAGAGGCCGAGCTCGTCCATCTGTGTTCCTGTGACTGTCACCAGCTCCCGGACTCCTCCTGGCAGGGCTCTCAAAATCCTCTCCTTTACAACTCATCAGGTATTCTGCAACTGGCGCTCTCCGCCTCACTAAATTCTCCAGTATAACACCCTCCTGCACTCGATCCTTTGGCTGCCTGAGACTGCTCATATCAAAATCAATACAAGGACGCTGCTGTTCACGACTTCTCGGGGAGCCTCTGTTGCACAGGTGTGTGGAGTTTTCCTGCAGCAACCAGTCTCTGTGCACATATAGGGGCCTGTATCTACATTAGAATTATTATTTAAGGGCAAACGGTTGCTGGGAGATGCCTGGAGAAGTTTCGACTCGGTTGTTCTTATGTAATTGCATCGTTTTCCGATGCAGGGGTTAAAAGACAGGGGAGCGCTGCTGAATATATGTGAAAGAATAAAACTCTCACCCCCAGGTAGAAACTGTGCAGGCAATTTCATTTAAGTAAAAGGAAAACTGTGCATTATTAAACAGCGCATATGCTGCAGTCAGATTTTATAGGCGAACAGAAGACTAGAGAATAAATGCGTGCATAATTCACGGAGAGCCATATCGGTTACAGAGGAGGAGTTCATTACTGTCGTATGTGCACATGGCCGTATGTGCATGTTCAGGGATGTGGCTGGTGGTGCATGTACGTGTGTGTGTGTGTTTTAATGTGTGCAAAAGTGACTGTGGATGTGTCTACCGATGCACATTTGTGTGAGTATGTCTTCTTTGCAGCATACAGTATGCCCCTTTCATTATTCAGATAGTGGACAGGCGTCGGTGAGCAGCTCGGGCTTCATTATCCCGCTCTGCTATGGGCGGACACAGATCACAGGACACACACATGCACAGCAGCGTCCCGCGGGGATGCTTAAGAGGGTGTGACGACAGGAAGTTTTATATTTCAGAATTTAGTCCTTTTTTTGTTGCAGAATTACAATGTCTGCCCTGAACTGAACTAAACAACACCAGACTCTCAGCTTTGATTTTATGCCTCCCCGCTGGCGACAGTCGCGGACGGATGCATTGTATTTTCAGGTCTATCCATCCACCTGCTTCAATACCTTCTTCAAATTTGGCACAAACACTCACTTGGACGCGACGATGAACCGATTAGATTTCAAAGGTCAAGGTCGCCGTGACCTCACGACGCGTGTTCTTGGCCGTGACTCAGAAATTCACACGATAACTGTGACAACATTTAACACAAGTGCTGATAGAATACAATGATGATGTGAACAGAGTTTATATCCCAGAGGTCCAAGGTCAGCTTCAACGTGACATCATAATGTGCTGCAACACTCTCCTGGTCATTATTCGACACCGTAAATCAGGAACAGGAGGGAAGACTGTGACGCTAATCGGAGGTTCCCACCGACATGCAGTGTATTATATGACTCTTAGTCTCTGCTAAGTCAGTGCTGGACAATGCTTTGGTTGCACTTCATTACCATTGCGCAAAAAATAAATGCTCTGTCTTGTTTATGTTTCTTTAAATCAATCACAACTGTCTTGGCTAGCGCTAAGCCCAGGATATAGCGATGGTGCACCTGCAAAATTAAACCAAAAAGCATCTGGAAACTGAGGAAAGACGACAAAACGGATAATTCAGAGAAAAGAAAAACCGAAGCAGCCCTACTGCACAATCCAAATCTTCTGCAAAACTTTTCAGCACGTAGTTTGCTGTTTGTTGCATCATATAGCAAAGAGGATTTTGAAAATGGGAACATGCAGACAGCAGAAAGGAAGGTGAGAGCTGTGGTGGAAATAGAAAGCTCATACCTGAAGTTTACATCTGGTTAGTCAGACTATATGGACAAACTTGTTCATAAACTCCAAGGTTTTAATTCAAGTTTCTTACTCAAACTCTGACATATTATTTAGTCAACATTCACGGTCGTTTTCAGGAAACAAAGCTGGAGCCTAAATGAGCATCCAGTTCACTGTGATAAGAACGAGCAGCTCTGATCAGGGTACCTTCGGTCACAGAGGAGCTGTTAGAGGAGGCAGCTATAATCACTCACACCACTTGTAATAAATCTCCCCAACAGACAGAGCTGCTGTAGACATCTTCCTACAAAACTCTAATTTATGGTCCCTATTCAAGTTTAGGAATCACAGTTGATAATTTGGTATTGGTTTGGGTTCAGTGGCTGCTGCTGCTGCTGCTACATCCACAAACACACTGCGACCAACTCACCCTGTCCTCCTCCTCTCTGAGGTCCGGCATGGTGCTGATGCACAAGCTGATGACCGTCACCGCGACCATGATCACCGACATGCAGGCGAAGATCTTCCCCGGTAAGCCCGACTGCGGATTCTCCACCATATCTCTCAGCCAGTTCATCACCTTCCGCCACTGTGTCTCTTCCACCGGCACCCGCTGCATGGCGTTCCTCTGCCGGCGCTCCTCCTCGCGCCTCTCCTGCTCGTGTACTTCCTCGATGCGCGTGTACATCTTCCTCTTGCAGCAGCGCTCCATGTAGGCCATCTCCACGCCCCAGTAGGTCAGCTCGTCGTGCAGGGAGAGGATGCACATCTCCCGCAGCAGCCGCAGCTTCCCCGCAGCCAGGAAGTTGAGGATGACCCTGAAGGCGGATGGCGAGCGGTCAAAGAAGAACTCCTTGCGGGCTTCATCGTAGTCGTCGCAGACGCTGGCGATGTCCTCGGGCGATCGGCAGTCGCAGAGCCGGCCAAGACGTGTGAGGGGGAATTGTTCCAGGGTGCTCCAGGGGAAGGTGTAGCGGTTTCCCCCGACGTTGATCACTGCCAGCAAGGCGTGGTCGATGGAAACCAGGTCCTCTGGCCGACGGATGAACTGAGCCCTCTGGTAGTACACACCCTGGAGTGGTAGAGATGAAAAATTCAACACATGAGCAGATGTTAGTTTCCAACATCTCTAGTTCTAGTTACAGCCTCATTCATACCTTGATGGTCTCAGTCTCGGGGATCTCGGTGAAGATGCGGTCCAGACTGCTGTCATCGCTGACGGACAGATTGCTGAAGTCATGGTTGGCGTTGCTGATGATGGGCATGGCAGCATTTGGAAAACACGCTGCTCCTGAAAGGGCAGCTCAAAGCGGGTAACGAAGACAGAAGGAGTCTGCAGACAGCGCCCTGCTAACCTTTTCAGTCTGGAGAAGTCCTTTCTGTATTGAAGCCTGCAACAACTTACATTAAAACTTTTGCATTAGAAAACTTTTCCTGCTGCAGCCCACATGTACTGGAGACAAGCTGAACAAAAAACGTCGATAGTTTTCAGTCTTTTTGGTTTCAGAGTTGTTGTTTTTTTTCAGCTATGGCTTTGGCTCCCAAACAGCTACCAGAAACCCACAAAGGACAGGAGTGTCAGGAGACCTGTTGTCACATTTGAATGTGAGTTGTCTCGTCAAAGGTCCACAGTACGCTTAGTTGGTGTTTCAGGATTCAGCATCAGATCAGTAGATAATCCCGCTCTGAAGCCAGAGAGCAGAGAGGGAAAGCCTGTATACAGGGAGGGGGTTAGGACTGATCAGCGGTTTACGGCTGCAGAGGATGGACTGGATGAGTCAAGGAGCCAAATGTGCAGCACTGAGGTGTCCAGGGACTGAAGGGGGATCCTCTGTGTCGTCGCAACAGGATTAGGGAGGGCCTAGACACATGGTGGCATCACGCAGGCACTGTCAGAGAAACAGAAAGAAAAATGTGAGAACGGAGTGAGGATGGACTGAGATTAATGCCGGTGCAACAACACGGAGCAAGAATAGACAAAGAATGGTGAGAGCACAGACGGAGTGAGGACGAGACAGAAACAGCACACCTAAATGGGACTGCAGTGCTGTAGGCCCCTCCCTCCTCCTTCCTCCTCTCAGAGAGAAACAAGACTGACACTTTACCTCTGCTGCTATAAATGACCGGCCACCGTGGTCAGTGCTGGACCGGAGTGGACAGCAAAGGAATTTACACCCAAATCAACAACCAATAAGGAGGGTTTGGCTGGTTCAGTGCGTGTGAGTGTCAGGATTTTTAAGGAAAAAGTGTAGAAAAGAACATTCAGGTTGCAAGGCGCTATTCACACTTGGAGTAAGTTACTGGCTGTCGTAAACGGGCAGTCATCCCAGCAACAGACACGGAAACACGGGGTCCAAAATGTTTTTCTTGGCAATACGACTGGCCTGAAACTTATTGGCACTGTCAGATGTTACAGTTGCCCAGAATGGTTTGCTGTGTATCAAAGCCTTGAATAGTTATGGTTCAGAGTTTGATTTCAAAGTGGGTCCTAATATCATCTTATTTGACTTTTATTGACTGCAGCTCCTGCACTGATTTGGTTATGCGATTTGATTAAGCTCGGCTTGTCAGTAGGCCTTCATCAAAGCCAACTTCTTGGACGTTTGTCACAGCAGGAGAAGCACTGATGTGTTTAATAACCTTACAAAGACTCTTCTAGTTAACCATTGCAAAGCCTTTCAGTTACACCTGTGTAGGCAGGTCAAAATCAGTGAACAGAACTATGTTTGTTTACTATTAACTTGCTATTAAAATCACATAATTGCACCCTTTTTGAAGGTGTTTCACTGATTCTCCTGTAAAGATTTGCTATAGCGGCAGCAGCTGAGAGTGTTTTTAGTATCGAATGGTGAGCAAAAGATGAAAGAGCGAGGCTCAGATTGAAACAGCTGGAATCGTCCTGTGAGATGCACCGTTTGATAGCTTGTTTTATCCAGTTACTGACAATAAAGCTGACTTACATTTGGGCGAATGCCCTTCACTCTCCTCCTGCCAGCTTTTGCTGTGAATACAAAGCTGTAATAGATTTTCTACACATGCCAGAAGCTCCATCTCAACTCTACAACCAGCTCTAAAAATATAAATAAATCAAAAGGCATGTAGGTACCGGTTTCCCCACATAATTACAGCACTCATTTGTCACTGTGACTAGTCCTGACTCACAGCTCTGATGCTTGGCACAGCATGATGTCCTGTAAGACTAATACAGCTCCACAGTCTTACAGGAGCTGTGGGCTTGTCAGAGCTACACTAACTCGGCTCACTAAAACGTGAATATCATCAGTAGCATGAAGAGCAGTGCATGGACCGTCGCTATCTTCCTGCTCGACAGTAACCACAGGCTCATTGAATGTGTGGCTGCAAGCAGCAGCCGGTCTGAAGCATGGATCGCACCAACATGCGTCACTAATTCAGATCCAGGAGGATAAGATCCTGTACTGAAGGAACCAATAAATCACTTCTGTCACGATGCTGGTGTTTCATTTCCACCTCACAGGGAGAGGAGAGCATGATAAACTATTTATTAATCGATTCGTAGTCCCCGTAGAGGTGCCTGCTTTTCTCTGGTGGAAAGTTAATTTGAAGGAGATGTTTTTTTTCTTCAGCAGCACACTGTGGTGTTATCAGACAATCCTGAGCTGCTTCGGTTCTGCACTGGACCACCAATAAGTTATGACACAGATAGTTAATAACGAGATAACAGGGCAGTAAACCAGGACTGTTGTCTTTTTTTTATTTTTTGAGTTAAACATAAATGTTAAAACTACATGAAAATGACTACTTTTCCCAACTCACGTGCTCTATTATACTGAAATGAGGTGTTTTCTGTGACTTCTATTCCATGAAGTGGTGATTCTGTATTCAGGAGTCAGTCGGGCAGCATCAGTCAACAGTGGCTGCATTTGTCTGGATGTGCATTTCAAATGGATGGAGCTGCTTTAATGTACCATAAGAAAACTCTCTTCCTCTCTCTCTGTCTCTCACCAACTTGCAGAAGCGCGCGCACACACCGGATAAAGCACAATTTTGCGCCCTTATAATTAAACTCGGTTAAATTGAGCGCTTAATTAAGATCATATAACCAAATCGTGGTTAGATAATCTTGTTGGAAGGAAAACAAATAATGGGAGTCAAAGTCAAATGTGGCTTAAAGGGTATTTCACATCCTTTATCTTACAGTGAATTCAGAACTATTTTGCTGCCACATTACTAAGCTTGTGTCCATTTGTATGTTGCAGTGTTAGCGAGATGAAAAGACAGCAGCATTCCTCCTGCTAAGTATCCCAACAGCACATTTCAACTTCAGACAGACGTGAAGCTACGATCACACACCTCGCAGACATCATTAGAACTTATGAAGTGCGGCTTACCACCCTGAGCCCCTCACTCGTCTCCAGACGGCCGAAGCAGCTCTCAGTTAAAATAAAATGAAAGAAAACAAAAATCCCTCTGTGTCGCCTCGCAGTCCCTCTGATAATCATTCAGCACCACATCAGGGTGTCAGCGACCATCCTCAGCAGCCACATGTCCAAAAAAAAGAAAGAAAAAAAAAAGCACCACAGGGACACCTTCGTGGCATCATCCAAGCCGGTGGAAGGCGCGCACACGAGTGTGAAGTGTGAGATACAAGGGGGGGAAACGGGTGAAGGTCTGGTGCGCTGAAAAGTGTCCCGTTACAGCTCGACTAGTGGTGCTGCAGGAGGAGGAGGAGGAGGAAGAGCAGGGGAGGAGGAGGAGGAGGAGGAGGAGGAGGGGAGTCGGAGCCGCGGTGCGCAACAGAGGAGAGTCCGGGCAGCTTAAGTTCAAGTTTGCGCAAAAGGTGACGGCACGCTCGGTGGTCGCGGGGAGTCTCCCGGTTTAAGTGCAGGTAAAGTGGACATTTTTGCCAGCAGCGGAAGCAGGAGTTTGACTCCGAGTCTCCGCTCGACTCGTCTCCCCTTTTCTGCTCATAGATAGTGTGGAATTCAAGGACACCGAGGAGACGTTGTCTTCCATGTTCCCTACCCTGATGCTCGGCGCGCAACAGGGGGCGCGGTTCCCTCCCAAATTGCCTGCACTAGTAAATCTGCAGGCAAGGCAGAGTCAGGTGTTTGCAGGCAGAAAATAATGGTGAAATAATGGCATTAAAGAAACACGGTCACATATGATAAAATCACAAATTGTGTGAAAAGCAAAGGTCTGTTTCTACCTTAGAATCACTTATTCTGTCTAATTGAATTCCATTTTGTCTTTTTTAATAGAAACTGCACCACATTTTGTTTCAAAGGATAAAAACAGGAATAGATTTTGTGAATAGTGCATTGAATGTTGTAAAATTTCTATATATATTTATTTATTTATTTATGCTAAAGAATGCCCTCTATCAGGGGTTCTGCAGCAGCTGTTTTTGGTGTAAGTTTATGTGATTTTTCTACTTAATTATCTTATTCTGAAGCATATTAGTCTTTGTTTTTCAGTTACTGATGCTTTTCTGTTTAATTCTATGCAATATTGGAAAATGCATGTGAAACACAGCAGCGTCTAGTAACCCCAGGATGAGCTGAATGTTTAGCATCCAAACTGCCATGGAACGTTGGCTAACGTTACCAACAGTTCTGATGATGTTTCAGAGAAAACATTTTAATGAAATGTTCTGATAACGTTTTAAGAATCATTTCCAATAATGTTGATATATAGGTAATATAATGAAGACATATGCTGATATATATCATTCATTGTCAGGAACATAGATTATGTTACATGATAACAAAGAAAGAACATATTAAGAAAAGTGAAACATTTTCCTACAATGCTCTGAGGATGTTTTGGGGATGTTTATAGAACGTTCTTTTAGAAATGTTTGCTCGATAGCCATAACAAAGGAAGTATGTTCTCAATGCAACTTTCAGAAAACATTGTTGAGACCTCAGATGACGGCGTGTCCTTCATCAGATGCTCCTGTAATGTGATATATTAACCTAAACGGAACATCCTACCTGTGATGTCATGAAGACAGATGTTGTTGCTGAACACATTATCTCCACACGCTCCCACAATGTTACGTGAAAACAAAGAAAGAACGTTCTCAAACCAACATTTGAAAAATGTTCTCCAGATGTTATCGAGGCCTCAAGTGATGAAGTTCTTGTCATGTGACATATTAAGAAAAGTGGAACATTTTCCTCCAATGTTCTGAGGATGTTTATAGAACGTTCTTTTATAAACACTTGCTCGATAGCCATAACAAAGGAAATACGTTCTCAATGCAACTTTCAGAAAACATTGT